GGCGTGACGAAGATATTATTTTGGAGCGATTGCTCGTCAAACAATTTTGGTGGGTGATTGGTCCCCTAGGTGACCACCAAGTGCATCGTAGAAAATAGAAATATTACTACATTTATCTTACTTATGTAACTAACGTCCTATTATACTCTATGGTATAAGACCTGTTGATCAAAGTTGTAAATTATTACCTTACGTTCATTTTTGCTAATGCATTTTTTCATGAGTTCAACGCATGCGGTCGCGGCACTGTATCTACGAGTATTTTATTTCGATGATCAGCTGCGGGTGTATGATCTGCGTGCGTATGCGCATATGAATATGAATACATACACATAAGTAGAGGCGCAAAGTATTTGGAATTATGTGTGGGTGGGACGGAATATATATACATGTATACACACACTATAGGTGCATATTTTCGAAAATCAAGCTTTAGAATGCCGAGTTTTAGAATGACAATATTTAGAAAATCTATATTTTAGAATATGAAAATTTTAGAAAATCTGTGTTTTAGAAAAATGTTAAATGGTGTTTTAGAATATAAAATATTTTCAATCGTTTATTATCAACTCATCCTGGTATACATTCATTTATCTCCAAAATTCAAAAAGAACAACATGAAACTGAAGCAACAATGGAATCGCTGATTTCAAATAAAGTATATATACTAGGGATGGGCCGATACCGCTTTTTATCGATACCCGATATACCGATATATACAACCGATATAAAACCGATACCCGATATTATAATCATAAATAAAAACTAAGTTGATCTTTAATATATTACATAAAACTTTTTTGGCAAAACCATGAACCGATACTAAAATTAATCCGATACCACAAACCGATAAAACCGATACCCGATATTATAATAACAAGTAGTTTTTGCGGTATCGGTTCAAATATCGGTTTTGAAAATAAACCGATACCGATATTTCCGATACCACCAATATCGGCCGATATTGCTAAGTATCGGTTCTAGGATAGGTCTACCCCTAATTTATACTATACCTATAAATATATATTTAAGAAAAGGAAATGAAACACGGAATATTAACTTATTGCAAGTATGTAAACGAATAGTTGATGATTCTAATTATAATTTAGATGAATTTATGAGAGCTATTGCTAATAATCTTAAGTATTAAAAATTGTTATATTTATTTTTTATTACAAAATAACTATTAGAAGACATTATATATGCGAGTAAACAGCATAAAAAATAAAAATATTTCTAAAAATTTAAATTCTAAGATTTTTATTTTCTAAAACACATTGTTTCTACATCTGGATATTCTAAAACCCAGCATTCTAAAATATGACTTTCTAAATCCTGCCAGAATACCACTATAGGTATACCTATGTCCAGTGATGTTCCCATCAATTTAGTTGACCACGTCGATGAATGTTTGAGATTTTATGATTTAAACAGCGGTGGTCGCGGGAAAGGGCTGTAAATATTAACGAAAATCGAAATCGAAATCTAAATTACGTTTTCGTTTCTTACAGAAATTAAAATTATTCGAATATACCGATACCATCGTAAATGTACATCGCAAATAATTCCTTTTTAACGATGCACTAGTCGTCCGAGGGAAAACTGAACGTCTATTACGAAATAAGGCCAAAAATTAAAACCTGCACAACTAACTACTTACGTTCAACACCCTCTACGTGAAGTGCTCGACGCTCGACAGCGTACGTAGGTAGTGTATTTTCAAATAAATTTCGAGTGTACACGTACGGGAACACCACTGCTCGTCGTTCAAATCGAATGTCGTCCACCCTGCTACCGCATTATTTGGGGGTAGGAGCAATCGCTACCTCGTTCTCACGTAGATCAGCGCCTCTGCGCGCGAGAATACGTACATAAATGCTTTACGCATCAGCAGGGCCGGCGAGAGGCTGGGGCAGGGAGGGCGCTCTAGCCGAGGCTCTACTCGGGGCCCGTTGTCTCAGGCTTTTATACAAAATTATTTTTTAATCTCATTCGCCGTAGCATATAAGGAGAAAATTTAAATATTTTTATCGTACTGTGAAGCATGTACAAGTAGTATGTACATTTTGGCCGAACAACTGTAAGTAAAGTAAAGGCCTGGAACCGATCAGTCCCGGGGCCCTCGAAAGTTCTCGCCGGTCAACGCGCATCGGTCAAAAACGTGCATTTCGCTAAGTTTATTTAATATTCGATAAACAAGTGCACACACGCGTCCGGTGGTGGTAATAATTTATAATTTAGCAAAATAATGACGTGGCGCGTACGGAAAAAAAGGAACGCACGCACGTACAACGGTAATCGCGAGGCACACGTTTCTAAATTTACACCGCCAGTTGTTTCGTGTTTCCCGTCTAATGGTTCGCGCCGCCCGGCACGGCCACCGCCGCCGCCGCACGTAGACTCCGCCTCGGCCGCCTCGCACGTTAATTGGCCACTCGTCCAATGGCTGTGCTCGGCCGCCGCCCGGGTTAAATAAATATTTTCGATATTTCCTCCTCGTCCCGGAGACCGCTCACCGCGCCGCCGCCGCCGACGACGTCGCGCGCACGCGCAAACAGGCCAATCCTGTCCCGGCGCGCGTTTGTTCCGTCATTACGACCCGTCGCCGTCGCAATCGTGCCGCACGTGCATATATTTAAATACATTTAAACGCGTACGCGCAAACCTCCACCGGAAACGTTTCCGGCCGTTGCACGTGCATTCGGGTCGCGATCGGGTTAGCCGCGCTCTATTACCTTACACCGATATCGGCACGGAAAGTCCGAACGATCGGAAAAATCGGCTTTTCTTAGTGGAACAATAATCCTATCTCTCCGTGCACCTTTGGTGCGAGGCCGAAAGGAATTAGGTCCTGTTTTTTTTTTTTTTTTTGTTCGACTTATTTCTCGATTTTTCGTACGAACAAGTCAAGTTGCAGAATGAATATGATTGGTGTTACACATACTGTACTGCGTACTTCGTTATCTTAAAGAGATGAGATTTAAAAATTATATTATTGGGTTAAGTAAACAAAAATCGTTGAGTTTGAGGTCGATAAAAAATTATGATATTCGTTTAGCTCCGTGATAAATTGTACTGCAGAATATTTATAGTACCACTGACTACTTATAATTCATTGGGTGAAATGTTTTTGTCTTACTACTTTCGCAAACCGAAATTGTCTTCGTTAAACTATACATTTCTTATATACCATGCTCGTATGTATCCACTCTAAGATGTATTAAATAATATTTTTGTTCGGAGCTATATTATTTGAATTATATTTCTGTACTAATTAAATCGGTGGTATTCGTATTCGCATATTCGTACACGATCAAAAACAATTAAACAACTGGTTGCCTCAGCATCGGAAAGGGCAAAAGAAATCTCAAAATACTGACGATGAGTAAACAACGAGAAGACAATAACAGGCGAGACTCAGCAGCTATCGCGATTCGGTGAATAATTACTAGGTCCGAAAGATAAAGGATTAGCGCCCGAGATGCCATAGGCATTCGACAGTCCGTGTCATGCCGTTTTTCACATTCTACGTTCTTAAACGTAACCATGTAATGGTGTGCATAAGAAGCGAAAGAGGATTAACATATGGGTTAGTTAACCGCCCCATACCAACAAATTTTGATGGTAGTACGATACAATTACGTAAGAAAGTCCAACAGTGGGGCATTTAAGAGGGAGGGGGAATAGGGTCCTAACCTAACAATTTGCCTTTCTCATCCTGGGCTTTTTTTTAAAAGTTTTGCGGAAGCTGTGATTATTTGTATACAAATGAAATTAAATTGTTATGACTAGTAGCTTATATCGTACGTTCCAACCAAATACGGTACCCAACTTTGTAATTATAATAAAAACCATTTATAACATCAATACTACGTTGATACTGCAATACATATTAATTGCTCATTACGAATTTGTGATATCTATCCAAACGTTAAATAATAGCATAAGGTTAAACATTTCTTCATTTCAATCTAATCTCTTCTTTTATTATTGAAAAAAATTAATAATTTTACGGTATACCGAAAAGGTACTTAGGTATTTGTCTCGTTTATTTTGTAATGTAAATTGTTTATGTATATATTATATAAAAAAATATAAATCTTGATCATTTAAATTATTCAAAAGGACAGAGGGACAAAGTGCCACGTAGTATAATATTTATATACGTATTTATGAGTATCCATTATTTTTTGGTGTAAAATGTTTATGTTAATATTCGAGATTCTTGTTTTGACCATCAGTCATAATATTTTGTACTTAATTATATTAAATATTTTTAGGAATGAGTAGCATAATATATTTTTTGTTTATATTTCATCTCAATCCATATTTGCATATTGATTTATCTATGTAAAATATATTTCTACATCCAGTGTTAAACTCATAGTGTATTATAATCACTAATTTAAATTATGAATTAACTGTAAATATTGTCACACACCGTTAGGCTCCGCATTTGATAAATGTACGTTATAATTGTTTGCATTATTACTGTACATAAATCATAATCACAATAAACAACGAGGTACCGCTTGTGAAATAGGACGTAAATAACAACGTACCTAACCGATTGTTCAACGACAATTATTGCCAAACGTATCAAATCGCCATGGCACCTATATTACATTGTATAGTGTACATTTTGCTTCGTTTCAAAAACATTAATGTCATCTCATGATTTTCTAAACGGATTGTTCAGGTTACATGTATGTTTGTCTAGTTGTAATTTCAATGATATTTCCTTATTGTTAATTAGTGATAAAACATTTCAATCAAATATTTTTATAATACTGCAATCGCTTGTGTATGTGACTACAATAGTGAAACTCGACTAAAGCGGCATCCTTCGGAACCGACGAAAACGTATCTCATACAGAAGTTTCCGTTTTAAACAAATTCCACTTACAGACATGTTACCGCATATTTCATTACAATCGTAACGCCACGGTTTTCTTTAAATACTACGTAAAAATGTAGCAGAAATTAAAACAAAATCGTACCTGTATTCGATCTTCAGGCAAATCTGTTTTTAGGGATAACATTTCTCTTGCGTAAACATCGGGGTAATGAGCGTCTTTGAAGGCCTTTTCTAATTCTTCTAATTGGTAACTGGTAAATATTGTCCTATAAATAATTTAAAAACAATTATATATACGTGATTTAACGATCGCACGTTTTAGAGGGTCCTGGCTTGTTGATCAATTATCATTCTTACTAGCTAACTTTTAACTATTCTCATATCTTACATGCGAGAATCCATGGGAGTACATACCAGTTTTTCAGACTGATAAAAATGATTGGAATTTTATCCATTTGAATGTCTTTGATAATGAGTTTTTTTTTATAGCAGATAAAATAAATAATAATTAAACGAATAGAATTAATAATTATTTTCAATAGAGCAAGATCACTCAATCCAGTGGCAGAGCTACATATAGATAAAGGTGTGATTTCATACGAGCCTCGGCATAAGAGGGGCTTCAAACAACTTAACTTAAAAAATTATAAACATTAAAATTTAAAAAAATTAACTAAAAACCTCATATAAGTTTATTTTTAGTTTTTAGCTTTCCATTTATTTTTGTAAGTAAACTATTGCATAATTATTTATGGAGGTTCAGAATAATAAAAATCTAGCATGATCAATTAGTTATTAGATCTTAGTATAATATGAAGATAGGTAGGTATTTATGCATTTATTCGTTTTAAATAAAATATCCTAGAAAAAGGAGTTATAACTATACTGATGCAGAATAGTAATTGTATTACATAAATAAATTATCGGTTGTAACTTGTATCATACTGTCATTCAATTCGGTAGAATTAACCAATCATATTGAATCTTTTAGAACATTATTTGCTTTTGAGCTCGAAACATTATCCAATGTTTTTGATATAACTAAATTGTTAGTCGTTAAAAATAATAATCTTATGACAAACTTCTCGAAATTACTAAAGGCATTTTATTAATTTCTCACTTTACCAGTAACAGTAGTCAGTGCTGAGAGATCATTTTCAAAGCTGAATTCAATAAAAAGCTACCTCAAAAACACTTTGTCTCAAACACATTAGTGGTTTGGCCATGATATCTATTAAAAACGAACGTGCAAAAAAATCAAATATGTCGGCGACATTGATCAATACTTTTGCATAAAACCAAAGCCGAAAATAAATATTCACAACTTAATTTCAATATTTACCTATTTATAAATATATTATTAATTATAATATATATATATATATGTATGTATGTATATATAAATATATGTATTAAAGAATAAAAATGTTACACGAGAAAAACAAAATTCTTAGTTTTTTTTTTAAATTCTGGCTTAGAAATTCGCCACGAAAATTTTTTACACGGGCCTCCAAGAATAATAAATACAGTTGATGGCGTGGGTATCGATATATTTGAAAGGACATAATTATATAAATTATTTTATAGTGCTAGTCAAATAATTGCCAAGTAAGTCGTCATTGCGATTCTATTTACAAAAAAATTGTTTTTTTTAGACATCATTTTGGTATCATTCTCTAAAAAGTTATGGTTTTTTTTTTCAGTCTTATCTTATGATAATTTTAAATCTTGTTTTTAAAGTACGATGGTTTTCGTTCAAGAAAAATCGTTTAACATACTGGCAGTACTTTTTTAAAAAATTGAAATGCCATATTTTTTAGTTACATACCATGAAAGGTGGAATACTATAACAAAATATATTATATTGTGTTTATTTTTAAATAATAATGATTAATTATGTGATGAACATTTTATTCTCCGATTTATGAACTAACAATTTTAAGTATTTGTTTAGATTCACTATAGGATGATCATTATCGGTGGTTACTACGCAAATATGAATGGCAAATAATTTTTTAAGGCAGTATTAAAATTGAATTCAGTAGAACTTTTGTGATTTTACTAAGATTATATTAGATATTTTGTGTTTGTTTTTGTGTTTTTCGTATTTTAATATATTTTCCAATGAATTACTAAAATGTGTGGTTAAATTCTCAAATTAATTGAACGGTATGTAAAATTATTTTGAAATATCCGATGGCAAAATTTGAATTGTAATGCACTTTCAATTCGAAACTACAGAATTCTTTTAGAATAATATTTCCCTAGTAGATTTCATTGTAATGGTATTCAAACTTAAAACACCAATCCTACCTTGTATATTATCTAAATTCTGTATCAGCACTTTTTTTGTTCGAAAACTAGCAACTATACAACATTACTGATGAAAGTGGGGGGGAATTTTATTTAAATGCTTGCCTGTGCCTTCTTTTTTTCTTCTTCTTGCTGGATCCAAATGACGTTGTCATTCCTTCATTGCTGTAGTCCTTGCCCGATTCTTGGTGATTCAAGTGACTTAGACCTGAAAAATAAAATATCACCGTAAATTAGAACCCGAGTGTTTGTATGTTTAATCATAAAACGATAATCAGGAACATTTATGCATTATGTGTTAATTTATACATCTAGATTAAAATATTTACTATTTCCTAATGCGATAATATTATGTTAGGTATACACATAGTAAAGAACTTGTTTTTTTAATCGCAACGAAAAGGATCTTAATATTCTTCATGCACACGAATATTTCTAATAATTATGTAAATACTGTACAACGTAAATAGTCGATAAAACATTTTTCAAAAAAGACACGTCTCATCTTAATAACACTGTAATTTATATATTGTCCCTTTAACTGTGTACATTTGCTATTACTTGGCTGCGAAAAAACAGTATTACACAATCTTACGTACTTTCACAATAATTGGACACTGTTTTATTCGAGTACCACTTCTTTTGCGCGTTACTTAAACAAATTGACATCCCATCGTAGCTTACACAATCACAATACACGAATTTCATTATTTACATTTTTATATTGTGTACCTACGTGTATTGTATATGAATTTTGTATCCATATATATACTCGGTCGTTCAAACCGTTTGGAATTCTCGCAGAGCCTAATATTTCTGAATTGTCAAGAAAAACATGTATTTTTATAAACGAATAATGAAAATAAAAAAAAAATACACGGGTACATACAAGTGCGATGAATATAAACACGCAAGCTCGATATGCATACATTATACATTATATATTTTTTTTTACGGTAGTTACTTTGAAATTGTTTACTAAGACGGGAAAACATTATTTCATCATCCACTTGGAGTAGTATGTATTCAACAGTATGCATGAAAATATAATTTACATTTTGCCCTTAGGGAAATGTTATGACATTATTAGGAGTATATTTTAATCTTAATAAAGACGTGAATTCAAAGGGCGTTTCATTCACGGTTTCAAGTAGTGAGCCGTATAACCAACTGAATAATGGCGATAAATTAATATTATGCCTTTACTGCAAATTACCGCAAGACCACAATTTCCGCACACACTTTGGACTGGTGACCTCTACGTTTCAACACAGTCCTGTATCCATCGGTAGTTGTATGCACAGGTACGAGATTTTCCGTCATGAGCTGACGTGATTTTTTTCCAAGCCGATCGTACGTGCGCCAGTAGAATGAACGAATATTAAAAAAATAAAAATAAAAAATAAATAAAAAACACATCTATCGCGTTTTTCGTGATCGGGGAAAAACGATAGAGAAAAAAAAATGGTGTACGTACATGTGTGCGCGCTGTATGCACGCGTGTTTACGACACGGTTCGGTGTACATACGTGTATATGTAGAGGCGTACGATGGTAAAAAGCCATGGTTCGTTTCTAGTAACCATGGTGATGGCAGTGCGACCTGCTGGTTTTATTATGTCGTTCTCGCATATATAAAAGCCAAAGTACGTGTGTGTGTAAAAGGGAGGAGAACGTTTGTCGGGAGAAAGGGGTGAGAGAGAGAGAGAGAGAGAGAGAGAAAGAGAGTGATAGAGAGAGTGAGAGAGAGTACGAACGTAGGGGATACGTGGCGTGTTACGTAGGTTGGGGTGGGACCGATAGTTGAGAGTAAAAGGGTGCGCGGGGAAGGATGGAGTGATAAGAAGAGTGCAAGGGTGAGCAGGGGAGCAAGGGAAGAGAGAAAGATTATATGCGATTGCGTCTTGTCCGCACATAAAGGGCGCCGCCGCCGGGTTGCCTTGTTAACTTTTGTGCGCGCACGCAGCCGAACTTACGATCGCAGACTCTAACGGGAGGGACATAACGCGAACGGGACGGAAAACGCTTACCGGTCTACGTACGCGCGGTGTAATCATGTGCGCGCAATGCGTTCGGGACCTCTTCCTGTACCATCAACGGACGAACGTCGACAAACGCGAGGCGCGTCCCTGTGCGCACCGAACGACCAGTGCCGGACCGACGGTCTTCAGGGCCCCGTATTTAGATAAATAAATTTATTAATTGTTTACGGAAATCTATGATTGTTCGGGTTGGTATACAACTAAATATATACTGCAACTATATTTCGAACCGTCGTCGACGATAAACAATTTTACAATACTTCAAAGCTATGCGTAATTGGTACCGTCTTAATTATCGTTAATTTTCGTAAACCCGTTTCCTGAGAAAATCACATGGGTTGCGATTTGCGTACTGGCACTGTATTAATTTTTATTTATCGATAAAGTGATACTCGTAGTACATGATTTGTGGGGCCTCGTACTAGCGTGGGACCCGGTGCGATCGCATCGCTTGCTCTCCTCTAGGGCTAAACAACGTGTGTTCGCACTACCAAATGCGACCGCAGGGATCGGCCCCTACGATCCTCGGTCGGATCGAGGGATCACTGGTCACTGCGGTTCGTGGTTTTTTTTCCCGACGGATTTCCATGGAACACATTACGAACAGGGGAGGGTGTGAATATATGTACGCGCTCGTTTCCTACTGTTTCCAAAAATGTCGAACGGAACGCGGTTAAACGTTTTTCTTGTCGATCACGTACGGGGGCGCGTTACGTTGCACACGAGCAACGTCGAACGACTTATCAATCGTTTCGTACGGGGCACGGCTGGGCGTGTGTTGCTGTCGCGGGGAACAGGTGATAAAATAATAATACTCTCTGTAGTCCCCACGTTGTTTGTTCACCGCACACGTGTTGTCATCGTTAATAACCGAAATCCGTTATTCTATAAATTGACATACTGTATACATAAATGTATTATTATGTAAACAGGAACGTATTGCGCGTGCATGCGAAATACGACCGGTTCAGCTCGTTAGCGGTTACATTAGATTTCTAATAATTTATTTGTACTAGACGTGATCCGGACGCGGTAATGTCACGGGCGAACCGCGGCCTTCGGGTACCCAATAACGTTGACCGTAAACGTACGAAAAAAACGGAACGTATTGTTATCGTAACGTTTCCACGTGCCGTTCAACTTTCATCCCTTGCGACCGTGTCGTAGTGATGAGTCACTACGCCGTCGTCGTGATCGACTCCGGTCGGTCCGGTTTTATTCGCAGCCGAAATACCTCGGCGGCCCTCGCGCAAAAGGGTGCACCGCGGTCCCAGCAACCGTACGACCGAATGTCGCACGAAAACGGTTAAGCCACCGTATGCTAATCTGAACGCATTAAATTCCCGGTCGGTATTAACAATGACAATAACAACGGTCCATATGAAGTACCGAGCGGAATAAGGAATTATTAAATTATTTAGAAGCAAGTCGTAAAACAACAGCCGTCGTAAACGCGATGATAATATAAGTGTTTATTAAGTTATTTCGCAGTGAAATGTTGTTTACCGCTCGCGCAAAAATGACATCTTTTAGATTAACCTAAATACGAAAACAACCGGCGCGCATGTCGCAATGAACACGACACGGTCCCACGTCGGTAGTGCAGGTGTGAAAATGTCCAGTTTGGAATCGCTGCGCCAACATTTTTGATCACTATCACCCATCTAACAGAGGTCGGAACAGTGTATTTTTCGTATTTTAACGGAACAATGATACAACGATGCATTAAGAAAGATTATTTTTATACCCTAGGACGCGGGACGCTCTAAAAGACGGGCGTTATTTTATATTTTCGTTCTAAAAACAGTGTGCGTGCAGTGTGGTGCAGAAGAACTGTATTATTCGTGCATGTAATTTAAATATTATTTATGGAAAAAATATGTAAGCACACGCGAAGAAATCCTTGGTGGTTCTGCAATTTAAGAGAAAAAAAAGTCACAAAAAATTAGGAGCAAAAGGTTTGAGTATAATGTTGTTGTCAATGACTGCATTTCTTTAAACAACGAAATTGCGCGAAAACGACATAAAATAAATCAAAATATTAGAGTATACAATTAAAAGTCGACGATAAGCTCATTTAAACGGGAAACCGCAACGTGTTATGGTACTACAACCGCGTTTTAAATTAATTAACACTCGATGAGCAAAACGTAATCATTGACGAGCGACATTAAATCGCAAACTAGATTACAGTGAATTTACATACGTACTCGAAAACCGGTCACATTACATCGCAGAGCGGAAGAAATTATAAATTTTTTGTTTTCTCGTCAACCCCCGACTTTGGATAACATTTCGTTGCATTTTGTTCAGCGTGTGTGCGAATTGTTTTGGGTTTTCAAACGTATGTTCCCGATATCCACTCGTATATCGATTTATTAATCGCGTAATAAATCCACTCGTGATAAATTGAATAATATAATACCGCGTCGCGCGGCAAATTGATGGTACGCCAGTTTCACGGTAGAGGGTTCCAAAATAGTAGTACGACGGTTCGAAAATAATGTTTTTCAAATCCCGCGGGACCCGGCCGAGTTGACGAATACTCCGGGGAGAGCAGCTTACACGCCGCTGCCGAAAGTAGGATTATTACAATTATGTTTTCGCTTAAATTTTTTTTTTATCGTGTCCGTCCTGGAAACCAATTACTGTTGAAGTTTAAATAGCGGCCGATAATGTAATTAATTATTGCAGTGTGAATGCTGTACGAAGAACAAGGTAATCGTGATAGCCGTCAGCTGAATATGTTACAAAACATATCACTAAGCTCATATATCACTAAACAATGTGACCTACGGACTGAATGCGTCGTGATGATTTATATCGCGATGGAAAATCGATTATCTTAAAGCATACGACGCAGAAAAATGTCATAAAGACGAGAAATGTGTTTCAAAATGAATGCAATTCGATTAATGGGCATTACCGGTGGTTTAAAGTACACGGAAATAATATAAATGTAAAATGTATAGGTACCTAATTGAATTTCATTAAATTATCGAAATACGAGAATAACACGGTGAAAAAATGTTTTGAAAATCCAATGGAAATAATCATAAGAATTTAAAGTAAAAAATGATTAATGTGACCATTGGCTTTTTTCATTCTCAAAAAGCGTATTTAATAGATACATCTTGTTACAGGTTTTCGCGTGTTTCTATGGAATA